CCAAAAGCAGCCAGTAGGTCTGGGGGCCAAACCCACCACAGGGTTTTCTCTTCTATGGCACGACGCTCACTTGGTGGCTTGGTGTGTCTCGGGGCGAATCTTCCTTTCTGCCTCTTAAAAACTGCAATGGCTTTTTTTTGGGGGGGGGTTCCCAAGCACGACCTTTGACCTTCGGGCTGCCCCCCTCAGAGGATGGGCGGCTGCCCCAACCCTTGTCCCTCCGCTCAGCCTCGGAGCAAAGGGGGACCTGGGCGGGTTTTGGACCCACAGAAATGCTGAGTTGCTAAAGGCAACCAAGCCATTCAAGGCCCCATTTGGTTCCCACGGGGGCAGCCCTGGGGGTGCCTGGATGCCCTGGGCACCCCCCTGCCCCGCATTCAGGGGATGGCAGGACGAAGCCCCTCCCCTCACCAGGAGCCTTTCTTCTCCTTCCCAGTCCAGCTGGGATCAGGACGGGGCCAGTTGAGGCTGGGATGATGCGGGCCCCGGGTTCAAGAGTTAGGACGGAAGGAGGGTCCTGGCAGGCGGGGGCTTCCTGGGGAGGAGGAAGCGGGGGACACTGTGGGGGCTCTGGTGCTCTCTGGCCTGGGTGGTTTTCTGGCAGACGTTTCATGACCCAACTAGGGAGCATCATCAGTGCTAGGAGGGAGGGAGGTTTGCAAGAGCGGAAGAAGAAAGGAGGATGAGGAAGAGGAAGAGGAGGAGGAGGAGGAGGAGGACGACAACTATGGGGTCCTTGGTGCTCTCTGAGTTTACTTTTTTTCTGGCAGGCGTTTCATGACCCAACTAGGGAACATCATCAGTGCTCGGAGGGAGGGAGGTTTGCAAGAGAGGAAGAAGAAAGGAGGAGGAGGAGGAGGAGGAGGAGGAGGAGGACAACTATGGGGTCCTTGGTGCTCTCTGAGTTTGCTTGTTTTCTGGCAGGCGTTTCATGACCCAACTAGGGAGCATCATCAGTGCTCGAAGGGAGGAAGGTTTGCAAGAGAGGAGGGGGAGGAGGAGGAGGAGGCAGCCGAGGCCCTTCGGGGCAGTCAAGGTCACCCCACCCTGAGCTGCTGCCGGGTGGACAATGACATCAGCTCTTTTCATGGCTGCTGCCACCGCTGGCCTCAAACGCGGCTCTCTTGGGCTTGGTATTGATCTGTTTTACAGGACCTTTTAAAAACGTTTCTGTGCCGGGAAGGAGAGACCGGGGGGGGGGGGGAAGGGGGGGGCCCCCACGGCCCTGGGGGGGCAGGGGGAGGCGGCTGGCGACTCACCGCAGGAAACGCCGCAAATGTTCCTGCTGAAGAGATACAGGCCGTCCTCGACTTACGACCGTTCCTTTAGTGACCGCTCAAAGCGACAATGGCCCTGGAAAAAAAGGGACTTAGGACCATTTCCCACACTTACGACCATGGCAGGAGCCCCACAGTCAGGAGGAGCCAAATTCAGGCGCTTGGCAAGTGGCTCGTACTTATGACGGTGAGAGGGTTCCCCCGGACGTCAAGTGATCCCCTTTTGCGACCTTCTGACCAGCAGAGTCAATGGGGAAAGCCAGATTTGCTTAACGACCGTGTGAGTCATTGAACAGCTGAAGCGATTCACTGAACAACGGTGGCAAGAAAGGCCCTCAAATGGAGCCAATCTCTCACTTAGCAACAAAAACTTGGAGCTCCATTGTGGTCGTAAGCCAAGGACTGCCTGCGCAAGGCTTGGATGAAGGAGCTGCATTTGGGGAAGGCTCGTTCCCTAAATCAGGGGTCCCCAAACTCGGCCACTTTGAGACCTGTGGACTTCAACTCCCAGAATTCTACAGCCAGCCAGGGATGATAGAGTTGGAAGAGACCAGAAGGGTCATCTAAGTTCAGGGGTGTCCAACCTGGGCCTCTTTAAGACTGGTGGACTTCAACTCCCAGAATTCTCCAGCCAGCTCTCCCAGAATTCTCTACCAGAATTCTCTACCAGTCTTAAAGTGGCTGAGTGTGGAGACCCCTGCCCTAAATGCGGACCCTTCAGCCCTGTGGGCATCTACAGAAAGAACTATTTGCAGCTCAGGGCTGGACTAAGGCGTGCCTGGTACTCTGAGCTTGGTGGTTTCCTTGCAGACGTTTCATGACCCAACTAGGCAACATCATCAGTGCCAGGAAGGAGTGGGCTTTGCAGGGAGGAGGAGGAGGAGGAGAACAATGACTGTGGGGTCCTTGGTGCACTCTGAGCTGGGCAGGTTTCTTGCAGACGTTTCATGACCCAACGAGGGAACATCCTCAGTGCTAATAATGATGATCGCACGGATGATGTCATCTAGTTGGGTCACGAAATGTCTGTATGAAAAGCACCCGGCTCAGAGAGCACCAAGGACCTCGCAGTCTTCCTCTTTCCCTTCCCCCTCCCTGCCATCTCCACTCCTTTCTAGCACTGGTGAAGTTACCTAGATGGGTCCTGAAACGTCTGCAAGAAAAACCACCCAGCTTTGAATCTCCCTTTACCAGGAGCGCATCCGGGATAAACATGGCTCCCAACCTTGGGGGCCAAGCGTGGCAGAGCCCCCTCCCCAGCGTCACAAAAAGGATGCCAAAACCTATAATGCACTAACAGTGCCATCCAAGCGGGGGGGGGGAGCCTGGAATCACGGCCGAAGAGCCCTTTGCAAGAGGGGTGAGCTGAGAGCCACATGGCTAACTAACCAGGGCTAGTAGGTAACCAGGGTTTGCAACTACCCGGTCTGCCTCCCAGCCCAGCCTTTTGGCCCTGGAGAGGGAATTTTGCTGGTTGACTGAGAGGACATATGGGGGAGATAGGCTGGATGTGGCAAGTGGGGAGGGGGCATAAAAGGGCGGGCCCGGGGGGGGCATCTCTCTCTGGATTGGCACTCTTACAGCGAACCGTCTCAGTGGCGCCCCCCTCCCCAACCCAGGCACTGGGACAACTCTGTAGGACGATGCAATGGAAGCGGTCAGTTATGTGGTGCGTCAGTTCTGAACAGAACAGAATAACAGAGTTGGAAGGGTCCTTGTAGGTCATCTAGTCCGACCCCTCACCCAAGCAGGAGACCCTACACCCTTTCTGACAAATGGCAGCCCAATTTCTTCTTGAAAGCCTCCAGGGATGAAGCCCCCACAACTTCTGAAGGCAACTTCTGTTCTATGGGTTGATGGTTCTCCCTATCAGAAAATTCCTCCTCATTTCCAGGTTGAATCTCTCCTTGGTCAGTTTCCATCCATTATTATTCCTTGTCTGGCCTTTGGGTGCCCTAGAAAATAGCTTGGCCCCCTTCCTCCTCCTCCTCTCTGGGGGAGCCCCTCCCTCAAATGTTGGAAAACTGGTCTCCTGCCTCCCCTGGTCCTTCTCCTCCCTAGACCAGCCAGGCCCAGGAACCTTTGAGCCTCCAGCCTCCTCATCGTCCCTGTTGCTCTTCTCTGCACTCTTTCCATGATATCACTGCCCCCGCGAGCAGACGGGAAGGGACCCCCCCCAATCTTTGTGGGGCACCACGAGGGACCCCAGGACTCCGACTCCCCCCCCCCCAGGAGCGCCTGTCTCCCAAGCAGGAGGAAGGAGGCCCCGGCAGACGGTGGGCCTCAGCGATGGGGAAGTCCAGAAAAGGAACTTCGCCAGCCTCCCCCAAAGAGGGACGGAAAAGGCAAGTCAGCATTCTCAGTTTCTTTTTTTGGGGTGGGGGGTGTGTGTTGCGACAGGAGGAGGTCTTAGGAAAAAGGAAAGGTTAGCCAGCATCTAGCCAGCATGGCTAAAGGGGGAAGGAAACAGGCAACCTGCCCGATTGTATCAGCCGGTGCCGTCCATCCTCCTTGGGTGGGCCAGGGGGGGGGGGGGGGGGGGGGGGGGGGGGGCTGGGAGGAAGTCCCCAGCCTTCGTGTGCCCCCTCCCCAACTTCCCTGGGTGGGAGAGGGAGCAATATGGGAGCAGAGAATTGGGGGGAACCATTTTGCCTGAAATGGTATACAGGGTCTTCCTCTTTGGGCAGGGGTTGGACTACAAGACCTCCAAGGCCCCTTCCAACTCTGTTATTCTGGAGGTTCTCCCCCCCCAATTGCTTCCAGGGTGGGAGGGGGGCTTTCTGGGTTCCAAAGCGGCTCTGCTAAAGCAGCATCCCTGCCAGGGGCCTATAATCTCCCGCTCCTGCCCAGCAGATCCTGGGCCGTTGGGATTTGATAGTCCTAATTCAGTCGCTTTGGGGGGGCAAAGAGGCCCCCCGCCCGGAACCTCTCCTCCCGGCTCCGCCCCCCCCCCCCCCGCAGGCTGCCCACGGTCTCCCGTTTGCTCGGGACAGCCTCGTTCGGCCGGCCCAGAGCGGTTCCGAGGCGGAAGGCGACCCCCCAAGAAAGGAGGCGCAACGTTGCGATTGCCCGGCGCCCGAACTCAAGCGGGGCCGGGGCGTCTCTTTGGGGCAGGAAGGAAGGGCCCGGCTGCGCTCCAGAGCCTCCCCGCGCCAGGGCAGTCTACCGCCCCCCAAGTGGGGAGGACGGAGCGGGCATGCCCTGCGCGGCTCGGGACCCGGGAGTCCCCCGCAGGCTCCCGGCTGCCTCCCGCATCCCGGCGGCTCCCAAAGGCGGGGCTGCGGGGGTGGGAGAGGCCGGGGGCTGAGCGGTCCTTCACCCCACTCCGGCGCCCCGCTCGGGCCGACTAAGCCGCGATGGGGCGGCTCCAACGGGGTTTGTTCCCGACCTCCGGAGGGAAGCGGCTTCTCCGGCCCGCCGGCGCCCCGGAGAAGGAAGGAAGGAAGGAAGGCGGCGAGCCTCCCTCCGCGGGGCGGAGAGGCGCGCCCGGGACCCCCGCCCCATCCAAAGGGAAGCGACCCCCGGGCAGGGCGCCCCGGGGAGCCCGGGCCAAGGCGGCGCAGCGGCTGCGCTGGCGGGGCCGGCAGGGCGCGCCCGGCTTCGGGGCAGGAGGCGCCGTTACTCGCGCTCCCTCCCTCCCGGCCGGGGCCGCCAGGCGGGCGGGCGAAGGGCTCCCGGCCGGTCTGGTGGGGGGCAGCGCGGGCGGGGCGAGGCGAGACCCACCTGGGCTCATGGCGAGCGAGCGGGCGGCGGCGGCAACGGTGCTCCCGGGCGGCGCGCAAGAGGAAGTCTGCGCGGCCGGAGGAAGTGCGCGAGGTGGGGCGCCCCGCCGACGGGGAAGTTTCCCGCCGCCCCCGCCCGGCCCGGGGAGGGGGAGGCGGCGACTCCGGCGGCGCGGCCGGAGGGGGCGGGCGAGGCACTCCCGCCGGCTTGGCTCGCCCCGAGCCCCGCTTCCCTTTGGGGCTCCCGGGGTTCCAAGCCCCGCTGGGGATGGGCGGCTGGGCGGTTGCAGACCCCCCGGCTGCCTGGCCCTTCAAAGTCCCTGCCCGCCGGGAGAAGCCGGGAAATGAAGCCCGGAAAGCCAAGGAGGGGCTGCCGCCCCCCTGGTCCCGTCGGGGCCGGCCGGGGTCCCTGGGAGGCGGCGGGAGAGCGGACCCTCCTCCCTTCCGCGGTCCCAGGGTGGGGAAGAAGCGGCTCCGGTCCCTCCCGGCCGCGCGGGGCTTCGGCTTTGGCAGGTCGGTCCAGTGTTTGCGTTGCCGCCGGCTTCGTCCGCCGTTGCGGGAGGGGCGGCTCTATCGCTTGGCCGGCCGGTTTGCCGGCGCGAGGGAGGCCCGGACGCCCCGCCCGCGCGGAGAAGCCTTCAGCCGGGGTCCCCACCTACAAAGTCGGCCTCTGGGGCTCCCTTCCTCCCGCTGCGGGGGCTCCGCTGCCTTTGGGGACCTGCCTATGTGCAAACCCCGCCCCAAATGGCAGCCCCTTCTGCGCCCCACTGTACCTCCCGAGGATCCAGTCACTTGGGGGGGGGAGGGGGAGCCAGAGGCACAAAGCCCCCAACAAACCGGGCCCTTCCCCAGGACAGCCAACCTGGGGACAGGAGGGAGGGAGGGGAGCAGAGAGGCCCTGGGGGTCTCCAGCTGGTGCTATCCAGACGACTAGTGAACTATCACCTCTGGAGCCCCACCTGGTATATAGGGCCAGGTTACCTGCAGGCCTGTTTTTTTCTGTTTGGCCAGAGCCCCAATCCTAGCCCCTTCCCCTAAAATTTTGCCCTCTGATGGGAGCTGGGAAGGGGTCTTTTCCTTAGCAGTCCCTGCCTGCCCCATAGACCCCCCCCCCCCCCCACCTCCGCCCTGACATTCAGCCTCCCCCCTTCAGCCTCTTCCCTCAAGGCCTTAAAGATCTGGGTTTTCCCCCAAAGTTCTGGGAGGAAATAGTCTCTTCAAACCTTAGCAAGGACGGGTGCCAAGTATTTGTTGGCTTTCATGTTTTACATTGAAGCTGGTTGTGTTTGATAGTTTTTACAATCATTTTATGTGTCTTTTAATCTTTGCTTGGGAGCCGCCCAGGGTTGGCGGCTGAAAGGTGGCTGGCTACCCACCCATGTTTTAAAAACAAAAGGATGTTGAGACTCTAGAAAGAGCGCGGAGAAGAGCCACTACGCTGATCAAGGCCAAAACATGTGAAGAACGAACGGTTGCAGGAGGCATCGGGTACGTCTAGTTGAAGGAAAGGAAGGACCAGGGGAGACATGATAGCAGTTTTCCAGTATTGGAGGGGCTGCCCCAAAGAAGGGGGGGGGGGGTTCAGCTACTATTCCAAAACACCAGAAGGCAGGAGAAGGAGGAACAACAACGGGTGGAAAGTCATCCAGGAGAGAAGCAACCGGGAATTGAGGAGGGATTTCCTAACAGTGAGCACAAGTAGCCAGTGGAACTGCTTGACACCAGAAGTTGTGGGGGCTCAAGAAAAGGCTGGACAGCCGTTTGTCCACAATGCTATAGCGCCTCCTGCTCGAGCGGTGTGTGTGTGTGTGTGTGTGTTGGACTAGAAGACTTCCAAAGTTAATTCCAATTGTGTTATGAAGGGAGGGGCGAGGGAGGGAGGTATTGCTGGCCATTTACAGGTAGTCCACAACTTAAGACCACAAGAAAACTAAAATTTATGTTGCTGAGATTGGTTAAGTGAGTTTTGCCCCTTTCTTGCCACTGTTATTAAGTGAACCACGGCAGTTGTTAAGTGAGTAACATGGTTGTAAAGTAAATCTGGCTTCTCCATTGACAAAAGGGGGATCTCATGAGCTCCCCGCCCCCCACTGTAACGGTCATAAATACAAGTCAGTAGCCCAAGAGGCTGAATTTTGACTACGGTTGTTAAGTGTGATAAACGGTCATCAGTCACTTTTTTCAGTGCTGTTGTAACTATGAATGGTCACTAAATGAACTGTTGTAAGTCGAGGACTACCTGTATTCCTGTGTTGCTTAGGCAGGTGTCCACCTGCAAAGCTGTAAAAGGACACGCAGGGCTCTGCTTTTTCTTTCCAGGCTCAGGTTTTTTCCCCGCTTAACAAAATATTACTTTAAACCAAGGCTCCCCAAACTTGGCCCCTTTAAGACTAGCGGACTTCAACTCCCAGAATTCCCCAGCCAGCTAATTCTGGGGGTTGAAGTGCACTAGTCTTAAAGGGGCCAAGTTTGGGGAGCCCTGGTTTAAACCCTTGGCCTTCTCAAGCAAGCCCGGGCTGCAAACGGGGGCAAGACAGGAGCCCCAACTGCCATTTGCCACAGAGCGGCCGAAAAGCAGCTCCACGGCCACCCGGGGCGGGTCCTCCGTGGGGTTTTTCCCGGCAGAGGGGAAGGAAAGGCAGAGTTCTTTCCGTGCCTTCGGACGGCACCTGGAAAGCCTGTTTTAGTCCCGGGTTTTTTTGCCTGCAGGCCCAACTTTGGCCAACTTGAAGACTTGTGGACTTTAACTCCCAGAAGTCCCCAGCCAGCTGTCTGGGGGATTCTGGGAGTTGAAGTCCACAAGTCTTCAAGTTGGCCAAAGTTGGACACCCGCGAGGTACGGACTTTTAATAGTGGGAAATACGGTTTATTTCGGAAAGGGGAGGGGAGAACGGCGCCTGTATTCCCACCCCCCGTCCATTCAACCCCCAACTAGCCCCACTTGCGTGCCCACAGGCTCTGCGGATCGTGCGAAGCTTACGACACGCGTCCAAGCGCTCCTTGACACGGAGGAGGACCCGGCGCCGGAGATTCCCACGGGGGGGTGGGCTGCGGGGGCTCCGCTCCGCGCGTCCCCACGTGCGTCTTTGCCTCTTTCCGCCGATAGGGGCCGCTCCCTGCCGGGCGCGCTCTCTCGGCAAGCGAGCCTTGTCGCGATTGGCCGGCGGGCCCGAAGGGGCGGGACCGGCCACGCCCCTGGCGCCTGCCCCGACTCGGTGCGAGGGCGGCCGGGCGGGAGAGACCATTCGGCGCCGCGGGGGGAGGAGGGGACGGACCACGCGGCGGGCGGGGGCGCGCGGAGGAGGAGGAGGAGGGCGCGCCTGCTGCTTCCGGGAGGGGCTCACCTGGCCGGAGCTGTCCCGGACGCGCCGCCACCTGCCGCCCCGACGCCGGGCCGGGCCTGCCGATGCGGGAGCGGAGGTGACCCGGCGACATGGCGCTGTGGGGCCGCATCGCCCTGGGGCTGCTCTGCGGCCTCGTCCTGCCGCCGCCGGGCCCCGCCGAGGGCCCCCCCGGCTCCCACGGCTCGCACCTGGACGAGGCCACGCTGGAAGGTGAGCCACGCTGGAGGGGAGGGGCCCTCTCCCGCCTTCGGGACCCCCTCGAGGTTGGGACACCCCCCTCCGCCCGGGGGGGGGGCTTCGCCGGAGCCGGGCGGGGGGGCGGCCGCGGTGCCTTTGGGGCCTGGACTCCCCTGCCCAGAATCCCCTCCGTCATGAGTAACTCCAGTGCCCAGAATGCCCCGTGCTGGCAGGGGACTTCGGGGCGGGGGGGGGTCTGCCCCTCTTGGGATCGGTTGGGCGGGGAAAGCGCGGCAGGCGCTCCGGGCGTCGGGCTGGGCCATCCCGGGTGGGGAGGGAGATCGAGGCCGGGGAGGAAGCAGCTGCTGCGGCCGGAGAGGGGGCTTCGGGCGCCGGCTTTTGGGGAGGGGCGCAGAGGTGCCGGCCAAGGCCGCTGGCACCTCTTGCATTAATTGCATCAACTTGCACGGTTTGCATTAATTGCACCGAGTTGCACCGGTTGCATTAATTGCACCGTGGTGCAGAAGCTGCATTCTCCTTGTATCGGCCCGTCTTGTATCAGGTGCATTGCTGGTGGGGCCGGAGGGCGGATGAGGGGGGGGTGTCTGTCGCCCCAAAGGCTGCACCCGCTGATCTGGAAACGCGGCGGCCCTTAACCTGCGCTCTGCCCAGCCATAGTCCGCGCCCGCAAAAGGCAGGTGCCGCCGTCCGCTCGCCCGGAGGGCTGCGCTTTCCCGGCTGGGCTTCTTCCTGCGCGCCTCTGGCCTCCCGCAGTCAAAGCCACTTTATGGGGGGGGGGGCTGTTTTTTACTCTGGACCCCTTTTTCCTGCTGGGAAGCTTCAGAAATCCCTGCAGAAGAAACCCCCCCGGATGGCCTCTAAGGGCTGCCAAACGGAGTAGTCCTTCGTGTGTTGTTTCTGCTGCTAGCAAGAGGGAAAGTTGCCTCTTTGGAAACTTCTGGCGCTTTCGGAAGGAACC